TCCCCCCCCCCCCCCCCCCCCTTCCCCTCACTCCCAGCCTCCTCCCTCTCGGCTCGGCTTTCATTCGAATTCAACTACTTGTGTACTTTGTATAAAATCGGGAACTTATCTGTAACTCACATATTCAAGAAGGATTTCCACCCCTCCTGGATGCTCTTCGAGGAAATTTGTGACGTCAATGACATCATTACGGATAATCATCCAGGCGTCATCAGGAGTACAGTGCAATGAGACTTCACATCGTGGGATTTCTCGACAGGACATATCTGAAACGGAACGGCTTGACTCAGGGTCAGAAGGAAGGGGAGGCGTAAGGAGTACGTGGCAGAATACGGTACGATTATTTCGTGAAAGGACTCGGATTTTGAGAATAGGAATTCAGAATATGAACTATAGAAGGGTGAAGGGCAGCGCTCAGATAGGAAGAGCACTCAGTACTTCAGGGTTCAGATCTTTCCCAGTGCTAGCAGTGATAAGATAAGAAGGTGACGGTATGGGCGTCGCTCCCACAACATGCTTTCTTCCATGTCTACACAATTCAAAGGAAATCAACAGGCATAAAGACCAATACGAGATGGGCATGAAAAGGGAATGAGAACCACTGTAGACAGGAGATCAATCGAGCGGCCGTATCGTCACCAGTACTTCGCACCCTCGAAAACTCGTTCGTGGAAGTGGTGCGTATCACGCACGTGGCCCCGACCCGAAACGGTCAGGTGCATTCTGTACCTTGGGTAGCTCCCCACGATACCTACGGCACCTTGGGTGAAGTAGAATCGTATAGCAATACAGGTACGACCGATACCGTTTCTGTCACAGTTCCAGACAGTGGAACGAGTACGACACATCGGTAACCATGCCGATGGCTGGAGTGCATTGCGGTGCGGGCGTCCCCTACAAGCTTTTATACCGTCAGATGAAATACTATGGACGCAAACACGGAGAGTGAAAGACATGCCGAAACATAGCTGGAGACGCAGAACCGACGACAGTCTACGAAAGACCGTAGCTCACCACCTGTGCACCGGAGAACGCAGTCACCCGTGGAGGCCGTATGTACCCGTCCCATGATAAGATGCTTGAATTTGGGTGGGACCACAAAAATGCAGCAGCAAAACATTAACTATGGAGTGATTGCCGGGCCACAGATTGGCCTGGGAGCAGAATTTTTGAGAATTTAAGTATTTTTGCAGGTTGACAATTCTCATGACATGGTGTTCACGTGAATCCAATCAAGGATGCATACACTGCGATAGTGGTGGTGGCGGTGGTGGTTGATGATTGATGAGGACGATTAATGAATGGCGACAGTGTCGGCTGCTGAGCGTCACGAACTTCGCATATCAACTAACATTTCGACGTACTCTTTCACCGAATATTAAAGATTTACCCAATAAAAATAATAAGACCCCCATATGGGGCGGACCATCATACTGTAGACAAACTGCATTTTTCTGTAAATTACAGAGAAGAGTGGAGATCGCTTACAAGCGGATAGGGACATAAGTAGAAAGATTTTCAAAAACCAGAGGACAACTCTGCTTCTCTACTCGTACTCATGCTTCTCTGCCATGCAGCCTTCTCGGAAGCTTCCGGAAAATGGTAAGCAAAATTCTCAGAGCTCATCTTCAAGTCGATCTTCTGATGGAACGTGATTCATGCTATGCCTTTATGATATGGGACTCCTTGACTGAACCCGAGTTCGTGGATGGATTGAAAGAACCGCTTGGTGAAGTGAAAGTAGCGCCCATTCCAGCAGAGGGTGCTACTCTACGCCGTCCAAACAGAGCCCACGAAATTCTTCGCAGTAAAGTACAACTGTTCATAGATCAGCAGTTCATCTGCCATGAGTCCTGCATTTGTTTTGACACGGGATCGAAGATGAACTGGAATGAATCGCCCACTCCCATAAGGCATGGGGGGTATTCCAGAGAAGGCGTCAAAATTCCAGAAGAGTAAAGTACCTCGCAACTTTGTTATCTCTGAGAAAAAGAGGGAATTCTGCTGGCTTGTCTGCGATCCATCTGGGAGTGTAAGGGTAAAAAAGCCCTCGCTTGTTTTATCCCTGCCACCCCATTTACTTCCTTTAAGTTCTCAATGATCCGCACTTTTTTGACGACATTTTCATGGAACAACGTCCTCTCTGGTCTGATTGGAATCCACCCAGTAATGAAATGGGGTAGGAAATCAAGTATTTCTCATTAAAACACCTTTCCAAGAAGTAAGAGGCATCACCTCATTGCCGATCGTAAAGCTTCATTAACCCCTCACTTGCACGGCCAGTTTTCTGGCACAATGTACTGGAAATAGATCCGCTCAAGTGTTACGAATTGCCTAAGCATTGTGTTCATGGAAACCATTGTCTACACCATCTAAACATGCGTTGGATGCGTTGAGCCAGTTGCATGGCTCAGTCTCAATGAGATCTGTCCTTGCCTATCTCCAACAGATCATTCACGTTTCCAATCGAACAATACGAAAGGCACTGAGAGAAATAGTGGGAGAACCGCTTGGGGGAAACCCTCAGCTTAAAAGGACGATCCTACGGTTTTCAAAGCCGGTTCCTTGTCACGACAGCCTCGCCCACTGGGAAGCTTTAAAACGTCAAGGACGTGAACGGTCTATCAAAGTTAATTAATCAAAGATCACATTTTTTTCACAGCAGATCTTCAAAAACTTATTTATTTGTCCAGAGAAGCATAAGCATGGGCAACGAGCTCCTCATCAATTTTATCCAGTGAAGCGGTTCTTTTCATGATCCTCCAGACCGAACACTTCTGAGTCAGTAAAGTTCAACATTTACGATCCACTCTATTTACCTGGTCTTGCTTTGAAAGAGGAACTGGTTGTTTTTCTAACTATTAAAGATGAAATAAGTTGGAACAAAGGAGTTTAGACAGCAACATCTATTTTGGGAACGGCAGCGACAGTTTTGCATTGCGAAGGAGCATTGCGAAATAAAGTGCATCATAACAAATCGGTTGCGCAACTCTTTTTAATAAAAAAAAGACTGCTTTAGAAAACAATAAAACATTTCAAAAGGGTAAGACGTCTTGTAGGGAGGCGCTGTATGTGGGAGCCGGAGAGCTGGGTCTCAGGGTCAGAGTGGCTAAATCCCTATAAGTTCTTAGTGCCACAAGTCAAACTTCCAGCCTCAGAGATGGCTCTGGGAGTGGACCATCCGGACAGTTCTTGCAACTTTCTGTGTGTAGGAAGTGTTCATTTCCTTCCTCCTAAATAACTCACAGAATTTCCTCTTTTTTCTTTTTTTATTAATCATTATTGCAGCTTATGTTATCACTCTTATCACTCCTCCATGTAATTTTATCTGTTTTTCTTCTCCACGTCTCTTTATCTAAGTTTTTTTTTCTTTTTTGGATCACTCATGTCGGAGACAGGAGTTTGCTTAGTTCTGAATCATTCCTGACTCTGTAGGCGGTACTGGCACGGTGGACGAGTTTTGTTCATCAACTTGCTGCAGTTTCATCGAACCTCTTTCCTATAGGTCAGTGGAATCATCGCTTTTGCTAAATAGTCGATGATATTGGCAATATCCTGACCAAAAACGACTCCATGGTGAAACTCCTACACGGAAGCGGAAGAGTACAGCATTTGTTTCTGACTGCCAAGATGAAATGAACACAAAAACATCATTGCAAAAGTTTTCGATGTTTTCACTAACTTTATTGACTGTTGTGTTTCTGTTTGTCGTAGCTCTCAAGGTTGATTGAGCAATTCAAGTTGACAAATGGCCTGCGGTAACTGCTACGGTTCCAGTTCGCTCCAGTCGGAAGTCTTTCATACAACTCATTCATAAATCTCAACCAGTAAACGGTAGCGAAATAGTGAGAAGATCTTTGAGATTGAGAATGAGAAGTCAAAACAAGTGAGAAGATCGCGTTTGGTAACCATTCGCAGAAGAAGGAAAATTCTCGAAAATAGGGATCTTTCTAGGGCTATAGAACTCGGAGGTTTTCGAAAGTTAGGGTGAACTTTAGGCTGTATCCTGTTGTTAAAGTCTTCAGACTATCTAGGGAAGGTTATTTCTCTTTTTTTTCTGAAAAGGGCATCAAGGAATTAAGGTACAAGTGCAGACCCGCTGATCATTCTGACCCATCCATATCAAATTCGGAATTACTGTCCCTGGTCAGTAAATGACAATCATTATCAATTCGCTTATCACCCTTGAGCCATTATACAGTAGGCACACAGGTAGGTCGACGGTTTTGAATAGGTTTCATGTATACGGCCTCATAGGAAATGCTGATCTGTAGGAAGCACTGTGATTTTTGGGCTGCATAAACAAAGTCCAAAGTTGATGCTGATGGGGTGGCGGAAGTTTTCCAACCTTCGTCTTTCAATGAACAAAGTTCAAAGGTAATACCTATAAAATGCGGAAGTTGGCCCCTCGTGAACAGCACGTGTTCTTCCGGTATCTTTGCAGAGTTTTAATATGCGCTCATGTGCTGTTTACAGCATTCCTTTGTGTACCGTGTCAGTCGTGGTCGTACCTGGTGGATGGCCGCGTGACAGTAGTGTCGTCGTGTGTTAGCAGGAAGGTCACCAAAGTCAGATACGACCCACCCGTGTTCGCAGTGGTGGGGCTGAGCTGAGAGGGTAGGGCTTCTGATCTGTTGCAATTCTATAGCAGTAAGTTTAAGAGCTTGTATGACAGTGCAGCAGTGCATTTCAAAGGCCTCAGCGGTGCCGAACAGTCCAGGTTGCTTTCATGAACAGAGTCAAGTGCGTGTCAGGAAACTCTCTGCAAGGAAGTACACCAGCCCGGGTGGAGAAGGAGTGGTGAAGGTTCCATACCTTTCGGTAGCCGTCCATCCTGGAAAAGGCTGAAGAAACAAGAGAAGAGGAAAAAAATTGTAATGGAAACTTAGGAGGGCAAGGGGATGAGGGCCGTATTGGACGTATAGGGTGAGTCTTGCTCACGATGATGCTGGTGGCTGCCCGGCTCTAATTCACATTTGTTCGATACTGCCTACTATGGGCCACTGCTTGCCGAGGTCACCAAGGATCCGCGAGACCTTATGAAAGGTTTTGGAAACGATGGAAGAAGTTCGGTCCTTTTCCCTGAACCATAGAGCAATCCAGCAATAGGGCTAAAATTTTAGCTGGGCAAATAGATCTTGTAAACTTTGCTGGAGTTCCCGGTGTCAAATCTTTCGAACAGAATTTGAAGAAAAGAGAAATCTTTCTCGACCAAGAATCAAAAATCAAAAGGAAAACAGAATAACATGCGAGACGGCTACCGGGCCCTTTTGTAGCATGACGTATGCACTTTGTTAGTAATCACGCTGAAGTATAGAACTAGTTCAACTTAAGACTTTCCTAAACAGACTCACCCGAGCAAAAGCTTTACCGATGTAACTGTCTCTGACATTGCTGAAAAGGCTCGCAATGGAAACTCCTTTGCGAGTCACAGGAACAAAGGTAAGGATGTTCCCATTTTTGTCGCCATAGTGACTAGTTACAAGGAAGATTCATAAGTAATCACAACTTCAGCCTATGACTCCATTCGCTGTCCTCATTTGGCCTATAGATAGCAATATTTGCACAGTGCCGCTGGTGTATTTAGTGTGGAAATACAATATACATACATCGCATAAGGGGGTACGGTAGTTTTGAAGAATAGCAGCAACATCTTTCTACAAAGTAAACCCTGTTTCCCCCCCCCCCCCCCCACTTTTTCAACTCCAACTTTCTCACGGTACCCCAAGTGATGGGTTCACCTCAAAAAGCTTACATACAATCAAACACTCCTGATAATCTAGAAGGGGCCGACCACGTTGAGGTAGAGGTGGTTTCGAGTAGTTGGAAACTTGGGAGAGTAAGCATAGATTTTCTGTAAAGGGAATGGAATGAATTCGCAGTAGGCCCATTTCTGTGCAATTATAAGTACATAGCACTTGGAAAAATCCGGAGAAAAGGAAAAATAGAATGGCTCCGAATGAACCACCTCCTTTTACTGGCCCAAGGGATTCCTCACTGGGTTGGGCAACCGGTAGGGAGTATTGCAGAGGCTCATGTACACCCTAGTCAGAGAGCTGGAAAAGTAGTGAAAAACAAGACCAGACTGAAGTGTTCCAGCACTTGATCAAGGCCTGGCTTCAAGATTTCCTCGTTCGTTAGGAACATGGCGGTGATAGTCACGCTTCGCACGAGATGGTTTACTCAGCATACACATCCCCAGCCATGTGAGGTATTCACATGATATTTCTAAGTGTGACAAGCTGTAATCCCTGTCCTTTTCTATTGAAGCCTGAATTACATAAGTAACTATGCTATCATCCAATCTCCAAGCAAGTGAGACAAAAAATGAGGGCGGTTTTAATAATAAGTAGTTACAGTAATCAATAATACAGTTACAATAATCGGTTTACAAAGTTTAATTTGATGCCGGAAAATAGTCTAGCAAAGCTAATAAAAACTTATTCTCAAGCCCAGATGAAACGCTTGGGTATCAGCAATTTTTGAGTGCTTTCAGGAATCATAGGAATAGGGAATACTCAAGTCACTCTCAAGATGACCGATACCAACAATCGTCTTTTGTTTACTATTATCCACCTAATGTCATCTTATCTACAAAAGCATCAAATTGTAGGCATAAACTATAGTCCTCTGAAAATACAGTCGCTGAGCCATCATGTGAACTGGAAATGGCAGCGTCTTGGTACTGTATGTACATGGATGGGCATAAATATTTAAAAAATGAACAGGAATTCGAGTCAAAATTCGTAGCCAGAGGGAGAATTACTTCCAGATTCTCTGTTGAGGACCTATGTGAGCTTCGGTTGGCTCCCACAAGTGTTCGCCTAGATCACACGCACACACAGACCCGACTCCAAGTCAGTTGCATGGCATAAACCGAAGCAATTATTGGACACCTAGTGTTTCACCGCATCAAATCAGACTAATCCCTCCCGTAAGTGATGTAGATGCTACCGCTCTCAAAAAGGTTGTAATGATGCCACAAAGAGACCATTATAGAGATTAAACTATGATTAGAAAACCAACAAGTGGGTGAAAAATAAACTTTATGTTTCTCAAAAACAATCACAGAAAAAGTTCTATGAAATCCTTGTAGTTATTGCAATCTGGTTTGTCAACTGAATAGCTTCACTGCCTCACTACAGCCCATTCTTCAGAAGACACCTTCCGCTTCAAGAGGAACTCCTTCTTCTGACCCACATAGTGTAGTTGTAATACTACCTCAAAAAAAATGAATTGAAAAAATATGTGATCACGAGTCTGAACAAGGCTGATCTATTGGGGAGGTATTGAGAAAAAAGTTTTACATAACACTGATTACCATTAAATAAAGTTAACGGGCTTTCTTGGCTCAAATTGCATGCTCGTAGAGCTCTGAGATGCTTTGTTGATTTTGCTTCGGAAGGGGGCAACCTAAACAATTTTATCAACTGTATATTTGTATGTATATGAAGGTGTTTATATTTACTGAGTTTATTATTTGAAATAATACAGGGTGTCCCAAAATTATTTGCGCCAAAGTTCAGTAATTGTTAAGGTAGAAATAATCTATCAAATTCACATAACCTGTTATTAATTAGTTGCATAAAAAGGTTTCCTTGCAATATGCATGGTTGCTCATGTGGAACTCCCATTACCTTTCAGATGGAGGAGGCTCATTCAATGCCACTCGCAAACATTGACGCGCGAGAAGTGGAAGGGCGTTATGAAATTTTTTGGGATTTTTCTAATAACCGTATAGGAGGCTATAAAACGATATAGAAAAGAAGGTTGAATCAGAGACAAACCAGGAAAGGTAGAAAGGTAGAATGTTTCTGAAGATAGGACTATTAAAATGGTCCGTCTGCCAATCGGTCGGGATTCTGGGTGAGCCATCAAAAGGAAGTCAACGGGCACGGCTTATCCGAGTTATCGCGATGGAAGAATGTCATGCAGGAGCTTCACTGCCGTTCCTATCGTATGCAGAGATTTCGGTCTCTACAGACACTGCCGGGCCAAAAACGCAGAAAGTCGAAAGTGATGACACGCAGCCCTTCGTCGTTTTCTCTGGTCAAGAAATTTTTTAAGATAAAGCCATTCCTCAACAACCAAAACGTTCGCGTTCTGAAAAGAAACGCCTAGCGTGTAATATCTCACAAAAAGGTTGTTATCAGAACA